GGCTCATGTCATGGACTTTTATTTACAATGTGAAAATATCTTGAATATAGTCAAATGTATCTAGTATTTCCTTTTATAGATTACAGTATACCAAATATATACTAAAATATAAGATTAATATATTATTAAACTAAAATATAAGATTAATATATTATTAAACCTATTTCTAGACAATTTTACTAATTTCAAGCATTAAATTAAATTCTAGACATTTTTACTAATTTCAAGCATTTTAAATTTTCTTATTCACATGACAGATAATTTTGCATTTTTTCTAGAAATAAATGCTTAAAATTAGCAAAATTTTCTGCCAATAGAGCAAGACTATTTCAATCCTGATGTCTAGAAATAAGTTTAATAATCTTATATTTGGTTTATTGTAATGTTATAATAGGAACTCCTAAAAAAAAAAAAAAGACTACATTCAAGATAATTTCACTTGGTAAGATTTTTTGCAGTCTATGTGCTTTTGTTTCTGTTCTCCACCCCTGTCCTGTCATTGGTGTGTTTCCTGATTGTGCTCACCTGTTCTGTGTCTCACCCTTGATTAGTTTGCCTGTTTATACTTTATAATGTCATAAATCAAATGAATAATTACATTAATGCAAAAGATAAAGACAGATGGAAAAGGATAAAACAAGAGTGGAGGATCAAATACATATGACATATCACAATTTAGTGATGTGTAGAGAATACCATAATCAACTGTAAAGCACTTGAATGTTAAAAAAAAAAACAATTTGGGGGGAGGGTATTAAATGTTTTTGATATCTTGATAGGGACCAACTGTCCCCACAAGGATAGGAATATCTGATAGTTTTGGTCTTGTGAGGACATTTGGCTCGTCCACATGAGGAAACAGCTTTCATTAAAAAAAAAAAAAAAACTAAAAGAGACAAAATGTTTACTTTTGGTTACTGATGTTAAGGTTGGTGTTAGATTTAAGTGTAGCATAGCATTAATTAGCTGAATTAATAATTATGGCAATTGAATGTCTTCACAAGGATATTAAGACAAGTGTGTGTGTTCTTCTGTTTCTTTCTTTAGCTTGGAGCATGCAGGCAAGATTAGGCTCACACCTGGATTAAGAAAATGTAAGTTTACTGTCTTCAGTGTAATGTTTACTTACATACAACCACACACACACACACACAAAATTTGTGTTGTAGACGATCTCCTGTCTAATCTCCCTCCTCACGTACAGATGCCTGTGAGATCATGCTGGACCCAAACACGGCACACACACGTCTGGCTCTGTCTGAGGGGAACAGAAAGGTGACGCATGTGATAGACGAGCAGCCATACCCTGACCATCCCGAGAGGTTTGATTACTGGAAGCAGGTGATGTGTAGAGAGAGTCTGTGTGGACGCTGTTACTGGGAGGCGGAGTGGGCTGGAGGGGAAGCTGTGATATCAATGAGTTATAAAGGAATACGCCGGAAAGGAGGCAGAGGTGACTGCGTGTTCGGATCCAGTGAGAAGTCCTGGAAACTGGACTGCTCTAGTAACAGTTACACTGCCTGGCACAACAAGAAGAGAACGGACATACCTGCACCTCCGTCCTGCTCTAACAGGGTAGGAGTGTACCTGGACTGGCTGAAGGGTTCTCTGTCTTTCTACAGCGTCTCCTCTGACACACACACACATACACACTTACACACATACCACGCCACGTTCACAGAGCCGCTCTACGCAGGGTTTTGGGTTGATTGTGACTCCTCAGTGAGTTTGTGTTGACATGCTTTGAGATCATATTGATCTGCTTCAAAAGAGAATATTTTTATTTTTATTTATTCTTTATTGCACTTTAACACAGCACTATTGAATTCTCCAATCTGATTGGTCAGAAGGTGTTGATTAATCTATAACAGCCGTTCCAGTTACATGTTTAGTTTACTGTGTTCATTTGACATTTACTGTATGGAAAGACATTCCAGTGTCAGAACTGATATGATAATAACTGATATGATTTATATGATAAAATCTCACAAAAAAAAAAAAAGATAAAGGTAAGGTGATTGTGCCAAGCTCCGATCTCCAAAGACCGATTTTCTCATCTGGCTTTTTTATTCAAGGGGAAAAAAGAAGATCTTTTGGAGTATTTTGAGTCATAACTCATAACATGATGTTAAAATATGGAGCTCGTATGCAAGTAGTACTTATTTAGCTCCAAACATTTCCCATTATCAGACTATTTTAGTGCATGTAAATGGCAAAATCAGATTTTTTAAATCAGATTTTAAGCATTTGCCTGCGCTCAATTATGTGTGCACCAACAAGCATTATACTGCAGTAGCCCATGATCTGGTAATAAATTATATTATATCCGTTAATTGCTATTTGTATGCTTCATATTTTCAAGTGATTCCTTACTATATTTAACTATTTACTACTCATTACCATTTTCTGGTATACTGCTGCCTCTAACCCTAACCCTGAGGTTTAGGGCGATTTTTTTTTTTTCTGTTTTTTTCTTTTTACTTTTGTAAGTTTGATGTTTGTTTTGGTGTCTGTGTTAATATTTTTGGTCACTGGCTGAAGTTTGGGAGGCAGATTTCCCCGGGCCTTCCCCCATGTGTGATGAATGTCTGTGTCTGCTTGCTGTGGACTGAGTGCAGCGTCTAATCACTTTCAACTTGCCTGTTACTTGTGTCGATGGTAGGGAGTGTGTTGCCATCATCCCGAGCCGTCGCGGGGCTTCTCGGTCCTCTGTTTAACGATAAGGAGCTACACCAATCAAATTAGATCATGGCAACTTTTCAAACGACTGTGCTAACCAGTCAGGTTGGTTTGTTTGATAGTTTTTTTTGTTTGTTTGTTTGTTTTTTTACATCATTATTTTTGTTATTGTCTGTTTTTTGTAATAGTAAAGTGAGCTTGCGTATAAGAAATGAGCTATATAAATTAAACGTTATTTTTTATTATTTATTATTATGTGCTATACTATTTTATTTATGTATACTATTCTCTACTATTTATACCAGCTATACTATTACATCAACTACACTGTTATTCTTTTTGTTGTACTATGTATATGTATTACTATCTACTTTCTGTTAGAAAGTAATAAAGAATTAAATATTAAAAAAAATTAAAAATAAATCAGCATAACTCCCTGTGTTTCTTCATGATGGCTCAAGGCCTTGCTTTTCAGTCCTAACTTTCAGTACTACACATGAACTATGGTGTGTGACTGCACACACGTACTTGCTGAGGCGCTGGAACTGACAGAAAGTGGGGCTTTTTTAGTGAACATATCATTCAAAAGCAGCTATGGCATTTGCTAAACTGCAAAAAGAAAAAGTCAGATTTGGACCAGGAACCTCTAGGAAGGGAAACAAGAGTTTTACAAAGCCGCAAAACCCCATTTAGGTTAGCCTTTTTTTTAAAGAGTTTATCCTGAATAGCGATAGGCCGAGGCTGACATCCTACAACATGCTTTCATCCAATACAATTGAAATGTGAGAGTTTTCTTTTCTAGGAACATATTGTTGTATATCAGCGATATAAAGTGGAGGATAAATACTGATAATAAGCACTTTCCTCTGGAGGTACTGGTGGCTCAGTAGTCTCAGGGTGTGGGCTGTGCTGATACTGGTAGGAGTGTAGGATCAAGACACCCCCCCTGTCAGTGACCATGCTTTTGGACTTTTGCCTTTTGAACTTTGCAACAGTGTTTGCAAGCCTAATTAATAACTCCTTCTCATGGCCTGGTGTGATGAACTGTGGGCGATTACGAAACCTGAATGGAAAGCAATGAGGTTTTACACTAAGTTGAAAACAAACATTTTGCAGGTTTTAAATTGAGTCTTGAATCAGATTCCATAAAAGCAAATGGTTTCTCTGGAAATTATTCTCCTTGAATCTACTGTAATGTTGACTCCCTTTCCTAACTGCCATCTAATGAAGTTATGTTCTAAAAAAAAATACTACAAACCAGACTTTGGGATTGTGTGCTACTGATGGCTAACATACCTTAGCTAATTATAGTACTGATATCAGCTGCTTATATACCAACAAATTCGCCAGTTTTCCTCGTTTCTCTTGGTGGTACAGTGGTTAGCCTTGTGGCTCCTGCCTGTGGTGGTTGCTGGTCAAGCCTCAGGTCTGGTTTTTTTTGAGTAGTGACTCAATTGTTGTATAAAATAAGTTATATAAAATAAAATTAGAATTAGTACTAATTTGAAAAGAAAAAGACATAATCATGTAGGTATGTTAGAGGTAACCATTTTAAACAGATCCCAGAAAGCACACCAACCAGTCTGTCAGATTGGTGGTGTGTGTTAGTTAGTAGTGCTCTCATAGCTACGCTTGTGGTTTCCTGGTACTAAGAGAAAATGGGAAGTGATAAGTGCTGAACTGCTGGGAAGAGAAAGCTGAAGGGAAACCACCATCTCCTTCTCCACTAAACATTTCATTGTGGTCTCCCTTTGACATGTGCTGAGGAGCCATTTATTAGGCCAAAAGTCCAATAAGCAAACCCAACACTCACCTCTTAGTGGTGCAGTGGTTAATGTTGTGGGCCCTAGTATTTGAAGTTTGTAGTTCGCTTCCAACTGTTTGCTTTAATTCAGGATTAAGTTTACAGAAGTGAAAATTTCTATAAAAGACACTTTTCATGTGAGACGCTGTGGCTCAATTGGATGAGCATTGCCTCCCGGTTAAGAGGTTGCTGGATCAAACCCCAGCCAGGTCTCCAGGATATGAGTGTAGATGGGTTGGAATTGGTGGCACAAGAGCTGAGGAAGGTGTTGGAGGGTGTTACCTGAGATGGGGGGGGGAGGGTGATATATCCAGGGCCCCCCCCAAGGTCCAGGGACAAAGAAAGGAGGCGTGTTGGTGCCTGAATAGATGGTGTTAACTTAGTTTTGCATATCTAGGGTGGGCTGCAAAACCTATCACGCACACTTTTTGAAGCACCATTTCCCTTCAGGCATGCTTTCTCCAGGCACCCACATCCTTATACATCTGCAACCACCCTCCCACCCCAAATCATTCAAGGGGACAAGCCAGATTTGAACTAGCAACCTCTAACCTCAGAGGCAAGGCTTTTACCACAAAGCCACCAAGTCCCACAGAAAGGCAAAGGTGGTGTAGGGCTGTTGTCTTTTAAAAAGACAGAGCCCTGACCTCAACCCCACTGAACACCTTCGGGATGAACTGGAACACCGACTGCACCCCAGACCTCCTTAGCAACATCAGTGCCTGACCTCACTAATGCTCTTGTGGCTGAATGAACACAAATCCCACAGCCACACTCCAAAATCTATTGGAAAGCCTTCCCAGAAGAGTGGAGCTTATTATAACAGTAACTAAATCTGTTAACGGGATGTTCACAAAGCACATATGGTGTATATGTATTTAAATCTCGACTGCTGAATAAAAAGGATAAGACAGATTTGAAGGCCTTGCAAAAGATGTCTAGTCTAATGTATATTGATTGATTATACTGTACATTAGACTAGAGGAGAAAATGAAAATGTAATGAAAAGCCCATTGGCTGCTGCAGGCTTTGTTTGCCAACAGTTTACTGATGACTGAGTGAAGAGACAGATGGATGTTTTCAGCCCCTTGAACTTTTTGAAGTGTTACAACCAGAAACTGATATGGACTTAACTGGGATGTCATCACTAGCATTTTGTTAGCAGCTGAGTTTATGGCTCTGAGTTTATTACTCTACTTTGCCCCCTAGTGGAATAAGAGAGACTAGATGGTTTTTCCCACTGAATCTTTCAATTCACTTACAGCCTGCAAAATGATTTTAATTCAGAACGCAATTCTAAATTCATTTGGTAGGCCAGATTAAATCCTTCAGATTTAAGCTGCAAGTTTGACATCCCTGCTTTACTGATTTATACATGTATACAAATTTGAGCTTGGTGTAAATGTGAGTTTATCAGGGCATGCTTTATTTACAAATAAATTCTTTTACAAAAACAAGGTATTGATCATGATTATTTAATTTATTTTATTAAATAGTGTTTGAGCTGCTTTCTTTTTCAAACAGCAGTCAGTTTTATGGTCACACACTGATACACAAGCACACACATTGCTAATTCTGTGTTTGCCTTAGTACTGACATGACCATGCCAGCAGCGCTGACCATGTAGCACTGACCAGCAGACCATGCCACAGGATTCACAGCCAGCTTTAGAATTATTGGCACCCTTTAAGATAACAGGCAAAAGTAATTGAATCAAATACACCTAACGTACAATGTTTCCACTCAAATAATTGCAGAAAGCATTTCATTTCCATCTAACAAAAAAAATCATCCTCAGGAGAACCGATGGGTGCCGATAATTTTGAAGTTGACTGTCAAAACATTTACAGAGTAGCATACAGTATTTATACACTAACCATATGCTAAAACATCAGTTGATTGGCTGCTTTTGTAAAACTGATTGAAAATGTAAATGATATATAAAATCTATAACCACTGACATTCTTATACATAAAAACATGCAAGTTTAGGAAGCTTTATTCCTCCTGCAATCATATTCTATATTTGGCTCTGTTGGGCTGAGTAAGTTATATCAAAACATTACACAAATATAACAAAAATCTTTTTTTTTTCAGTCAGGTATTGGTAAGCTAGCTTGTACTGTACATGCAGAGTATACAATCATCTAAAATAAAAGCTAGAATAAATACAGTATAGTGCATACAGTAGATATACAGTGCAAAGACAACAAGAGTAGCAAAATAAAATTTATAAGCATATTTGATTAACTATTTCTTTAGTGTGTTGAAATTCAACAGTAATGCAACTGAATGTATTACCTCTTTTTGGTTAAACTATGTTTAGTACGTTGCTCTTAGAAAAAGTGGTTCTGTGGTTATGATTATATTTCATAATTATGGGCCATATTCAGAGTTGGTAACTTAAGTTTAAAAGGTTATGTCAATATTTACACAGGGAACACTCCTGGTCTTCAGAGTCCGGTTATGCACCTGCTTAAGCTGATTTTCTGGGCTCCACATTTATGGAAATCACCTGCGTGTAGGTGACACCTCTGAGCTTGCCAGATTTTTCTTAAGTGTCCATGACAGGGTTTTCCTATAGCATCTAGACCAGAGTCTTTAAACATAAGCTCTTTCCCTTAAGCCCCATTAAAAAAACCTCAGGGCTAGAAAATACTGACTGAAGAAGGAAATAGAATTTTTTTTCCAGGCAAACATAATACAATGGAAAATCAAAGCAAAAGAATTTATCAAAGAAAAATCAAAAAAGACAAATATGATGATATATAAATAAGAAGATGGCAGACATTTAATAATATAATAAACATCTAGTATGTCTAGTATATTGCTAATATATCACTGCATGAGTAGTCCTAGTTGTAATTATCAAATTAATCACTGTAAATTGGGTTTAATCTAACAATATTGCTTTTACCCTCATTATTCAGCAGCTTATAAAATTGTACTTTATCCAGCACATCCTATGATTTTCTAAATTATTAAATATTAAATCCATGCTTAACTCAAATCTGAATATGGCCCTTTATGAAATGAAGATCTAGCAAACACTAACTGAAATTTCCATTTCATCGGCATTACGAGTGAAGGATGCAAACGGAAACACTATACATGCATTCAATGCTATCAATACTTTCTCTTGCTATAAAAAACTATGACTATTCGTTATTAACACTATTAACAACTCATACTGGGAATCTCTGGGTCATATGAATGTGCTGTTTGTTGCTTGTTTTTATTTACAATAATTTTCATTATAGATAGTTGGGTAACACTTATGATGAATCATGTATTCATTATGCATTATAAACACATTTATAAAATGTTATATATCGCATACATAATACCTTATAATGCCCAACATAAATGTGTATAAATGTTTGTGGATGGGTACAGTTATGTGCATAACACTATAACAACTATAAAACTGTAACAGAAATGACAGGGTTTATATTAAAGCTTTTGTTCTAATACGTGATCGTTTCTATAGTAACAATTCATTCACAGGGCCTTGTATGGCAGACGCGCCACATAATCTAAAGCTAATAATAAAAGGAATTTAAAAAACATTGTTCAGTTAAGAAAAATGTATGGCTGTTGATGTGGTGAAGTTTCTACTGTATTAGATGTTTTATGGAACATTTATGGAAGCAGTCTCCAGTGTCAGTTTGTAACAGTCAGTAGGTTTTCTACCACTGGAAAGTCTTCACACTTTCCAGTTTCTTAGTAACATGGCAACCTGCATGTTTGCATTTCATTAACTCCAAGAGAGAGAAAAAGCGAGGCTGCTTGGAGAATGACTGCTTGGTTTATAGTTCCTATAATGTAAGTGATACTAACGTGCTTTGTGCTCAACATTAAAAGTAGCTTTAAACTGATAGCTATGATGTGTTGTTCTTTAATTAATAAAAAGGATCATGCTATTGTCAATTAATAATTGTTATCAATCAGTTGTTGACATTATAAGGTATCATGTATGCTATATGAGGTGTTATAAATGCATTTGAATGCAGGTTTCATGTTAAGTGTTACCAGTAATTGTGCAAATAAAGCATTGGTCCTAATTCTGCAGTCAGTGTCTGACAAATTTGGTCCATAGAGTTTATGTGCTATTAGAAATCTCAGCACTTACGCATCATTACTCACATTTTACCAGATCCTGGGCTTTGGTACTTATTTTCTTTTTAAGAAAAAAAAGTGTTTATTTCCCTCAAACAGGTACAGCAAATTGACATGTATCATTTTTGCATCATCTTAATAAAAGGTTTTTAAGGCAGGCTTTCTATTTTATTTAGATTACCTAAATAAATTTGCCTAATTGTCAGTGCAATGGTAATTTTCCATTTTTAGTGTTTTTACTGTAGGCATGCTACTCAAAAAATTATGGTAGATTATGGTGTCTTTATATCATAGATGTACTAAGACAGCAGTTACAGTAGTTTGACCATTTTTAGTATTCTTATTTTACGTGTTCTATTTTAGTACATACAATTGTTTACCCATGTTGTAGTGTTTTTACAGTAGCCATACTTCTCTAGTAATTACGGTAGTCTTATGATAGACGTACTATGATAGCAGTTGTTCAGTTGTTTTGTTATTATTCTGATGATAGCAGTTAAGGTTGTTTGCCCATGCAGTAGGCACGCTACTGTAGAAATTATGGTTTCCCATTTTGTAGTGTTTTTATGGTAGGATATGCTACTCCATCAGTTATAATACATTGATCATTTGTTAGTGTTTTTAAGGTAGACACACTGCTCTAGCAGTTGTAGTAGTTTGGCCAAAAGGTATTTATGGTTTTATGGTAGGCAAAATATTCCAGCACTTACAGTAATCTGGCAAATTTTTTTTTGTTTTGTTTTTTCCCAATAGTGTGCTACTATAGTGATTACTGTAGTTGACTGTAGGAATGTTCCTCTAGCAGTTACAATGGTTTGCTCTTTTGTTACAGTTCTTATTTTTTACACTGTATATGTGCTACCTCATTTTAGGGTTTGTATAGTAAGCATGGTAATTCAGCCATTATGGAAGTTTGGCTGTTTTTTTGTGTGTGTGGGTGTGTATGTTTTTTTGGCAAGCAAGGTAAGCCAGCAATTATGATGATTTGCTCTTTTGTTAAAGTTTTTGCTGTACGAGCATGCTTCATTTTTTTATGACATCAATGACAGTAGTGTGACAATTTGTACTGTATTTATGATGTTCCTTTTAGGCTGTTATGGGGGTTTACCCATTTGTTAGTGTTTTTACAGTAGTTATGGATGGTTATAAGCAGTTACACTGCCTTTAGTTTACCACCAAAATAACAGTGAAAATCACATAGCAGTGTTAGAGAAAATGAGTATCATCATAACAGCAGTGATCAGACAAACAAAAGCTACTTAGTAAATTAGAAGGTTTTTGCATTAAACACTGCTATGTAATGAATTTGTTTGGAAGGATGGTAGTATTCTGAAGCGAATTATTGTCTGGAAAATATGGTACTTTCATCAGAGAAGACTCTGGCAAACTTTAAATACACATAAAAGTAGTAGCAATCATGCTGTTATACAGCAGTATAACAAATGATGTGACGTACACTTTAGGGCCTGAATA